CGCCTTTTCCCCCTGCTTTCCAGTCTTATTACCTGACGTTTGACGTAAAGAAATGTCTTAGTTTATATTTGTGCTTTGTCCGGGTTGTTTATGTCTATCTATGGGACAGGTGTCAAGATGAGAGGGCCTGAGATGGTGTGTGTTCATCAGTTGGGTGTTCAACACTTTGTTCTTCTGACTAGTGCCGGGACGATTTCGTGCCAACTCCAGTGACAGATATGACGGACTTGTGTACAGCAACTGTGGGTGAGGGTCGGTTCTTCTGCCATGATGCGGCGAGGATGGCATATGGGCTTACGTGTAGAATTACCGATTCAATCTGCATTATAGGACTAGTTCGGGTGAGGGGGGGGGAGTTACCCGGCGATTCCCGGGTCGGCCTGTGTCCAGGACCTCTGCCAGCTTTTATTGTTTTGAATATGGCCACCAGTTTTCATCCATTAAACAATGCCTGGAGTGTGATCAAGTGCTTTTCTTCTAGTGTCCGATGGAAAGTGCGATTGGGCGTCTCGCGTGACACTGAATCAGATTCCCCGCCTTGGTACCCGGGCAAAGAATCTATCGCAGCATCGCCCGCGTGAGATAGACGAGCCGGGAACTCATCAAGGATGCGGAGGGTTGCCACGAGCAGGGACCCGGCCAGATAAAACAACCCAAGTTGTGCTTCAGCCAGTGAGAGGGGCATCAGGAAGCAGTTCTCACGGCTTCTGAGTGCCTGTAAGAAGCGGGTTTAACGGCTCCTGAATGGCAGTAGGATTAAGCAGGTCTTACGGCACCTGAGTGGCATCAGGAAGCAGTTCTCACGGCTTCTGAGTGCCTGTAAGAAGCAGGTCTAACGGCACCTGAGTGGCATCAGGAAGCAGTTTTCACGGCTTCTGAGTGCCTGTAAGAAGCGGGTCTAACGGCACCTGAGTGGCATCAGGATTAAGCAGGTCTTACGACCCCTGAGTACCAGCAGGAAGGTGGTTCTTGCAAATATTATTGAGCAACAATTTGCATTGTTTCTATCAACCTCTGCAAGTCCCCAGGGGTACCTTAGCCAGCAAGCCATCGCATACGCAAAGACACAAAATCAATCTTATTTTGCTTCACGCAAAATGCCAAATCTGCCGGTTTTCGAAGGCAAAACATTGTACACTCTCAAAATTATTTTCCATAAATCAAATATGATTTTTTTCTTATGATTTGTCATAATAATTTGCGAAGCTTACCTGGAAGCCAAGTGAAGCTCTCTCTCGTAAGAGAGTTGGATTGAGGCTTGAGATTAACTGCTGTTCCTGTCGGAATATATTTTTTTTCGAGCGTTAAGTTGTTTGTTGTTTAAGATTCACTACCTGGAACAAAAAAGTCCCAAGTAGCACGGGCTATGGCGAGCCCGTAGTAGCGTTAAATGGGACAAGGTTGTTCCCCATCATCTTACGTGTTGTGTTTGTCTCGTGTTACCTGCGCCTTAGCACGAAGGTGGTGGTTCTACTTTCTTTGGGTACCGATATCGTCCTCGTGACGAGGCTTGGGGTTGATAGCGTCCTCGTGACGAGGCTTGGGGTTGATAGCGTCCTCGTGACGAGGCTTGGGGTTGATAGCGTCCTCGTGACGATGCTTGGGGTTGATAGCGTCCTCGTGACGAGGCTTGGGGTTGATAGCGTCCTCGTGACGAGGCTTGGGGTTGATAGCGTCCTAGCCAGGGCTTGGGGTTGATAGCGTCCTAGCCAGGGCTTGGGGTTGATAGCGTCCTAGCCAGGGCTTGGGGTTGATAGCGTCCTTGCCAGGGCTTGAGGTTGATAGCGTCCTAGCCAGGGCTTGGGGTTGATAGCGTCCTAGCGACGAGGCTTGGGGTTGATAGCGTCCTAGCCAGGGCTTGAGGTTGATAGCGTCCTAGCCAGGGCTTGGGGTTGATAGCGTCCTAGCCAGGGCTTGGGGTTGATAGCGTCCTTGCCAGGGCTTGGGGTTGATAGCGTCCTAGCCAGGGCTTGGGGTTGATAGCGTCCTTGCCAGGGCTTGGGGTTGATAGCGTCCTAGCGACGAGGCTTGGGGTTGATAGCGTCCTAGCCAGGGCTTGGGGTTGATAGCGTCCTAGCCAGGGCTTGGGGTTGATAGCGTCCTAGCCAGGGCTTGGGGTTGATAGCGTCCTTGCCAGGGCTCGGGCTGATAGCGTTCTCGCGAGACCTGGATTCTAGGACACGACCCGTCGTGCACTAAGGCTAATAGCCTCATTTGGGAGGGGGGTTCATAACTATCGCTCCATCTCTCCTTCTCTCCCCACGGGTGATTGACAGGCGAGGTAAGATGAACAAAAGCAATCTAAGCTTATACATGAACACATGTTCAGGAGCTTGTTCCCCATGTATATGGATACATATACACAGATACATATCCATAGGTTGACTATATGTATTGGCTCAATACTTGACAAAAAATCTAAATGATTCATTATGTTTTTGTCTTGTTTAACAGCTTATAAGTGTACCTTTTGTAAGTGAATCTTTTTTTGGGACCTGGAGCTACTTTTTCTGCATAGGTGTGGGACAATGGTGCCATCCTCTGAGGGCTCACAGTTCCCCGTGATCCATGTGTTTGTCCCAAGACTGCAAAGCTATTATCCCTGTTGTAATTAGTTTTAGGGATTTATCTTTCATTTTTGACTCCTGGAAATCTGATCAGTGTTGAGTGACAGACGGCTCCTCAAGTTCCTGGAAAGCAGAAAGCTATTGTGTGCAGCGGCAGAAGGAGTACTGGGTCTGCCATTGACCGGAAACTGGAATACTGTGTAGCTTCCACTGGCAAGAATACTGAGTCGAATACTTGACAGCTTTCCTGCTTTATACCGCAGACATCTGGCAGATGTTAGAGGCTTTCTACTAGACACTGTTGGCTATCTACCAGCTGGCTACTTTCTATGAAAAGCCATTTGGCAACTTTATTGAAAGTATCAGCTAGCAACCCTTGTATAAAGTGCCTGTTAGAAGCCTCTTATACACTGATACGTAGAAAATGACAGCACTTTTCTGACCAAACCAGGAGTGCAAGTTCTCCCAGAGTGCGTGACCTAGGGGGGCTGTATAGGACCATACAATGTAGATATAATTCACTCTGGCCGGAGGGAAGATTTCTTTATGGTGACCAGACCACACACTAGAATGTGAAGGGACGACGACGACGTTTCGGTCCGTCCTGGACCATTCTCAATCGACTTGAGAATGGTCCAGGACGGACCGAAACGTCGTCTTCCCTTCACATTCTAGTGTGTGGTCTGATTTTCATACTTTAGCCACGTTATTGTGACTCATCGCCTGCATTTCTTTATGATACAGGGATAAGTCTCCCAGACCCTACTGTCTCTACCACACCTCTCTCTCTCCTCTACAGTTACATGTGATCTCTCCCACGCAGCGATAACTGTCATTGAGAAGCGTATAGTCTTCTGGAGCTCATGATAACTGTCTCTCGGAGCATTGTAGTCGCCAAGACGACACAAGAAGAAAGCTGCTCTCGCGTGCAACATTGCAACGCTTCGCTACGTCTTGACAAAGCCACAATGCACAGTATCACTGACAAGGGCTGGACAGATTCCGGACTTCGCTCACTTGATGTAAAACACTGGAATCCGTTATTCAATTTTTTTTTTGTCCAGTTGCTTCCAAACCTTCACTAGCTTGCTGGCTTCTTGTCTCTGCTTCCCAATCTTCCCCTGGCTTGCTGGCTTCTTGTCTCTACTCCCTAATCTCCCCCCCCCTTTCCTGGCTTGATGGCTCCTTATCTGTACTCCCTAATCTTTCCCCTGGCTTACTGGATCCTTATTTCTACTGCCTAATCTTTCCCTGGCTTGTTGGATCCTTATCTCTTCTCCCCAATCTTCCCCTGGCTTGATGGCTTCTTATCTCTGCTCCCTAATCTTTCTCTGGCTTGATGGCTTCTTATCTCTGCTCCCCCAATCTTCCCCTGGCTTACTGGATCCTTATTTCTACTGCCTAATCTTCCTTGGCCTGGTGGATCCTTATCTGTATTCCCTAATCCTCCCTGGCTTGGTGGCTTATCAGTTCTATTTCTAAACCTTCCCTGGCTTGCTAACTTCTATCTTGGACTACAGCATTAGACTGAAGCATTAGTAACTATCTCTTCACAGTAACAAGCCAGTTCAGCAATATTTTCTGGGCAGAGTTTCTTTCACCCTACGCCCCTGTTACCTAGCAGTAAATAGGTACCTGGGAGTTAGTCAGCTGTCACGGGCTGCTTCCTGGGGGTGGAGGCCTGGTCGAGGACCGGGCCGCGGGGACACTAAAGCCCCAAAATCATCTCAAGATAACCTCAAGATAACCAGAGTCCATCAGAATCTTTCACTGCACCATCTCTAATCACGTGTGTATAAAATTGTATGACGTAATTGTAATTTAACATTTAATTGTTAAATTAAATTGTATGTATAACACTGACGTACAAAGATTCTAATTCTAAATATAGATTATACAATATGTAATCACATCTACGTCTTATGTAAATATATGGGTGTGAATTCATTCATAAAAGTATAACCATTGATGAATGATATTTTTCCGTGTGATATTATGAGCAATTCCCCTGGAAACACAAACCGAAACTGTCTCTATTTTCCGCTTGTTACAACTTGTAATAAAGTTGTTACATCTTGGCTTAACGTGTTTATGACGTATTAGAACGTTGTTACAACTTGATATATTGGTTGTTATAACTGGTTAGGAGGTGTTAAAACTTGTTCGAACGTTGTACCAACGTCGTAGTTTCGGTGTGTGTTTGGCGGGTATCGGCTATGATGAATGTGGCTACGGTTTTCTGACTCTTGTTGAAAACTTTAATGAATAAAAGGTCAAAGTTGTATGTGATTTTTTGTTGGCAGTTCATCCAACTACACGATAATGTGATCCAACAACTAAGCAATAATGTCATTCACCCACACAAAGGTGGGCCCCTTCATCCAACTACTGCATAACAAGGGCGTCATCCAGCAACTGCAAAGCTGACGTTATCTAATCACTATGCAATAAGTCATCCAACTGTACAATAACGTCATCCAGTTGTGCAATAACGTCATCCAACTGTACAATAACGTCATTCAACTGTACAATAACGTCCTCCAACTGTTCAATAACGTCATCCAACTGTACAATAACGTCATCCAACTGTACAATAACGTCATCCAACTGTACAATAACGTCATCCAACTGTACAATAACGTCATCCAACTGTACAATAACGTCATCCAACTACAACAACGTCATCCAACTGTACAATAACGTCATCCAACTGTACAATAAGGTCATCCAACTGTACAATAACGTCATTCAACTGTACAATAACGCCATCCAACTGTACAATAACGTCATCCAACTGTACAATAACGTCATCCAACTGTTCAATAACGTCATTCAACTGTACAATAACGTCATCCAACTGTTCAATAACGTTATCCAACTGTACAATAACGTCATCCAACTGTACAATAACGTCATCCAACTGTACAATAACGTCATCCAACTGTACAATAACGTCATCCAACTGTACAATAACGTCATCCAACTGTACAATAACGTCATCCAACTGTTCAATAACGTCATCAACTGTTCAATAACGTCATCCAACTGTTAAATAACGTCATCCAACTGTACAATAACGTCATCCAACTGTTCAATAACGTCATCAACTGTTCAATAACGTCATCCAACTGTTCAATAACGTCATCCAACTGTACAATAACGTCATCCAACTGCTCAATAACGTCATCCAACTGTACAATAAGGTCATCCAACTGTACAATAACGTCATCCAACTGTACAATAACGTCATCCAACTGTTCAATAACGTCATCAACTGTTCAATAACGTCATCCAACTGTTCAATAACGTCATCCAACTGTTCAATAACGTCATCCAACTGCACAATAACGTCATCCAACTGTACAATAACGTCATCCAACTGTACAATAACGTCATCCAACTGTACAATAACGTCATCCAACTGTACAATAACGTCATCCAACTGTTCAATAACGTCATCAACTGTTCAATAACGTCATCCAACTGTTCAATAACGTCATCCAACTGTACAATAACGTCATCCAACTGTTCAATAACGTCATCAACTGTTCAATAACGTCATCCAACTGTTCAATAACGTCATCCAACTGTACAATAACGTCATCCAACTGCTCAATAACGTCATCCAACTGTACAATAAGGTCATCCAACTGTACAATAACGTCATCCAACTGTACAATAACGTCATCCAACTGTTCAATAACGTCATCAACTGTTCAATAACGTCATCCAACTGTTCAATAACGTCATCCAACTGTTCAATAACGTCATCCAACTGCACAATAACGTCATCCAACTGTTCAATAACGTCATCCAACTGTTCAATAACGTCATCCAACTGTTCAATAACGTCATCCAACTGTACAATAACGTCATCCAACTGTACAATAACGTCATCCAACTGTACAATAAGGTCATCCAACTGTACAATAACATCATCCAACTGTACAATAACGTCATCCAACTGTTCAATAACGTCATCCAACTGTTCAATAACGTCATCCAACTTCACAAGGGGGCTACTAAGACCTTGCCAGTGGATTACCAACAAACCAACAAGTGTATACTAAACCTTTGACGTATTTCACATCTAATGCAAAATACACCCAAGTCGGTGTATAGATCCCTGAGTGGTTGATGAGGAGGGGGTGATCTCCTAGACTGTTGTTACCTGCCCGAGGGAGAGCCAGACGAGGTAATTATACATCATCCCACTAGCTGTATGTTCCGCCCCCTTCCAGCCACAATCCACCAAGCTGTTTGTTCCCCAGTGAAGCACATGAGGGGGACCTGAGCTCCAAGGAAGGACCAGCGTAGCTTAAATGTGAGGGGTTGGGTGTCGGAGTAGCCTAAACGTTTTGGTCTGTAAACATTTAGGCTGTTGTTGCTGGTAAATTGTTGACAAGAAGTATTTTCCTGGTCACGGAATTCTCTTGCTGCTCTTCTCCCTTCCTCTCTCTCTCTCTTGGAGGGAGTCGAGGCGCAGCATATTTCCGTTACCTATTCCCAGTTTTTTCTTTGGTGGACCCGTCGAAGCTGTTGTGGTTGGTGCGGTGTGAGGCGGATGGTTCGGTTTGGAAAACTTGTTTTTTTGCTCAATTCTGGTGTTTGGGTGATTGTGTGTCCGGTGTTTGGTAAAGGTGGCAGTGACTCTCCTTCACAATCAGTGACCTTTCTACACAATCAGTGACCTTCCTACACAATCAGTGATCTTCCTACACAATCAGTGACCTTTCTACACAATCAGTGACCTTCCTACACAATCAGTGACCTTCCTACACAATCAGTGATCTTCCTACACAATCAGTGACCTCCCTACACAATCAGTGACCTTCCTACACACTCAGTGACCCCCCTACACAATCAGTGACCTCCTTACACAATCAGTGACCTTCCTACACAATCAGTGACCTTCCCACACACTCAGTGACCCCCCTACACAATCAGTGACCTCCTTACACAATCAGTGACCTTTCTACACACTCAGTGACCTTCCTACACAATCAGTGACTTTCATACACACTCAGTGACCTTCCTATACAATCAGTGACCTTCCCACACAATCAGTGACCTTCCTACACAATCAGTGACCCTCCTACACAATCAGTGACCTTCCTACACAATCAGTGATCTTCCTACACAATCAGTGACCCTCCTACACAATCAGTGACCTTCCTACACAATCAGTGACCTTCCTACACAATCAGTGACCCTCACCCACAACACTGAGGGGGGGGGGGCATGGGAAGCCAGCATAAAAAAAACAAATTTTAGAAAGTGTGTTGGAAGAGATGAGTAGGGGGGGAGGGAGGGGGAAGGGTGGGGGCAGGAAGGGAGAGAAGGGGGCAGGGAGGGAGAGGAGGAAGGGGGTAGGGGGCAAGGGTTCACACAGGGGTCACCAGGGGTCACCCTCGACAGGTATAACCAGTGGGAGAATGTTGTGATTGGGCCTTAGTTGTCCCTGGTGCCTGGAGCCTGCACAGTGGCCTAGACAACCCACACCTGGAGTCTCTACAGTGGTCTAGACAACCCATACCTGGAGCCTCTACAGTGGTCTAGACAACCCATACCTGGAGCCTACACAGTGGGCTAGACAACCCCACACCTGGAGTCTCTACAGTGGTCTAGACAACCCCACACCTGGAGCCTCCACAGTGGCCTAGACAACCCACACCTGGAGCCGCCACAGTGGCCTAGACAACCCACACCTGGAGCCTACACAATGGCCTAGACAACCCACACCTGGAGCCTCCACAGTGGCCTAGACAACCCACACCTGGAGCCTCCACAGTGGTCTAGACAACCCACACCTGGAGCCTCCACAGTGGTCTAGACAACCCACACCTGGAGCCTGCACAGTGGTCTAGACAACCCACACCTGGAGCCTCTACAGTGGTCTAGACAACCCACACCTGGAGCCTACACAGTGGCCTAGAAAACCCACACCTGGAGCCTCCACAGTGGTCTAGACAACCCACACCTGGAGCCTCCACAGTGGTCTAGACAACCCACACCTGGAGCCTCCACAGTGGTCTAAACAACCCACACCTGGAACCTCCACAGTGGTCTAGACAACCCACACCTGGAGCCTCCACAGTGGTCTAGACAACCCACACCTGGAGCCTCCACAGTGGTCTAGACAACCCACACTTGGAGCCTACACAGTGGGCTAGACAACCCACACCTGGAGCCTCCACAGTGGGTTAGACAACCCACACCTGGAGCCTCCACAATGGTCTAGACAACCCACACCTGGAGCCTCCACAGTGGTCTAGACAACCCACACCTGGAGCCTACACAGTGGTCTAGACAACCCACACCTGGAGCCTCCACAGTGGTCTAGACAACCCACACCTGGAGCCTACACAGTGGTCTAGACAACCCACACCTGGAGCCTACACAGTGGTATAGCCAACCCTAAACAGCAAATGTCGGGATTAACAATAGTTAAATATTATAATTATTATCTTTGGTTATATTTTTAAATATCTCGGTGTTTTAAATATGATATAAACATATCATGTTTATATATCATTTGTTACCTACAGTTACAGCAAACATTTCTGTTTGCTGAAACTGTAGGAAACAAAGGTTATCTTGTTATCTTGAGATGATTTCGGGGCTTTTTTAGTGTCCCCGCGGCCCGGTCCTCGACCAGGCCTCCACCCCCAGGAAGCAGCCCGTGACAGCTGACGAACACCCAGGTACCTATTTTACTGTTAGGTAACAGGGGCATAGGGTGAATGAAACTCTGCCCATTTCTTCTCGCCGGCGCCTGGGATCGAACCGAAGACCACAGGATCACAAGTCCAGCGTGCTGTCCGCTCGGCCGACCGGCTCCCCTGTAACTGTAACTCCCCTGTAAAAAGGTGACTGTAACCTTTCCACCGCTACCTACTGGATGACTGGGTGGCTGATATGATACAAAAATCATATATAAAACTGCCTCACTATATACCTAAGCTAACCTAGTCTATAGACAACCCATATGTATGTCTATATGTACTTGTGGTCGCTCGCGAACATTGATATAATGCCTAATATGCATTGTATCTAACTTATCAAGACTGTAACTCACTCGACTAAATGACTTTTGAGGTTCGGTCATTGAGCCCATAAGAACAAAGGTAACTGCAGAAGGCCTATTGGCCCATACGAGGCAGCTCCTATTTATAACCACCCAATCCCACTCATATACATGTCCAACCCGCGCTTGAAACAATCGAGGGGACGCCCCCCCACCCGCACCATTGTGTGCCTCTGTAATCCTTTCCCGCTACCGCCCACAGGTTGGGTATGGGGTGCATAATAAATGAGCTAAACTGAACCTAAGACAAGGAAAAAATGGAGAACCATGTACGGAACTTCTACCCTCTAGACTGAAGCTTCCTCCTACTAAGTTCCTTCCCTACTTCCTTCCTTCTCTCCCTCTCTCTCTCCCTCTCTCCCTCTCTCCCTCCCCTCCCTCCCTCTCTCTCTCTCCCTCTCTCCCTCCCTCCCTCCCTCTCTCCCTCCCTCCCTCCCTCTCTCCCTCTCTCTCTCCCTCTCTCCCTCCCTCCCTCCCTCTCTCCCTCTCTCCCTCCCTCCCTCCCTCCCTCTCTCCCTCTCTCCCTCTCTCCCTCTCCCTCTCCTCCCTCCCTCCCTCCCCCTCCCTCTCTCTCTCCCTCTCTCCCTCCCCCTCCCTCCCTCCCTCCCTCCCTCCCTCCCTCCCTCTCTCCCTCTCTCCCTCCCTCCCTCCCTCCCTCCCTCCCTCTCTCTCTCCCTCTCTCCCTCCCTCTCTCCTCTCTCCCTCCCTCTCTCCCTCTCTCCCTCCCTCCCTCACTCGCCCTCAGGCGGGCCACAAGTATCCTCACACATACACATGTATCATACCTTAACACCCTTCCAAACTGAAATATAATGTTTCCTGAAAATTCCTTTCATACGTATTTACCACCTTTTTTACAGGTTAAAAAACGCAACAAAAAGATCGTAGATACAGCTCATAGATTTAGGAAGACCAGTGGAGGTGTTGAGACTGGCGAACGAAACATTTAGACCACTGACGAAGATCTCTGGGAAGGTAGATCTCATCAACAGGTGTTGCCCTCAGGTGGACCGCAGAAACTAGCTGGCGATATCTAGCAACATTTAAGCTATAAACTCACAGTTCTCCGCCAGCTTGAGGTGGACTAGCCAGCCAGGGTCGCCTGTGTCGAGATATTATTTAAAAAAAAATAGCATCGCGAGGCACCGGTGGACAGGAACTGTTTCCGTTTAGAGGGTGTAAAAGCGACGGGTTGGGGGGGGGGGGGGTCACATCGTCAAGGGATTGTAAATTTCACCTTTCGTCATCTCGTGGTCCATTCATTCCCCCCCCCCCTCCACAGTTACGTTATGGGAATGTTTTAACAGCATCGATTAGTTACGTAGTCGTTAAGGGGTCGTCTGGGAGGAAAGGGAGGGTGGAAGCACCAAGCCATTATGACTATAGAGCACTAGGAAGGGGCTCAGGACGTCGTCCCTTCACCTTCTAGTGGTTATTAGTTTTATAAAACTGTAATATCAATATAGCTATAGGTTAAGTACTAATTGTAATTAAGAAGCAATACAATTATTATCTTCAAAAACTAAGACGGTTAGGTGAGGTTGTGGTTTTCTATTCAGTTTTTCAGGTAAACTCAAATATTCACAATATATTTGACAGTACGATTTAATACTAAGTGAAAATAAGTACAATTCCTAACTGCTATGAACAGTACATAATTGCACTTATTCGTCTCCTTACATTTACCACCCCATTTTTGGAGGACGGGTTGTCTAGTGTGTGGTCTGGTCGACATCAGGATAAGGATTAGCAATAGAATGGGTGAGGGAGGGAGGATTGTCTGGGAGCGTGGAGTATACTCCCTTAAACGGAGCATATTATGCCCAACAGAGGCAAAAACTGGATCAGAATTCATCAAGCATTTACGAAACCTGTACATCATCCCTTGATCACGGCGG